CTAGCAAAGTGCATTTCATCTCCCAATGGAACGTGGACCTTGAAACTGTCACAGCCTAAGACTGTCCATGAGCACATATTTTGCAGGTGGTAGACCTGTCGACACTTATTTGCCCTGACCAAAAACTTTTTTTTTTTAGATTTAAAAAAAAAATTTATTTCTGAGAGGGAGAGAGAGAGAGAGACAGTGTGAGCACACGGGGGTCAGAGAGAGGGAGACTCAGAATCTGAAGCAGGCTCCAGGCTCTGAGCTAGCTGTCAGCACAGAGCCTGACGTGGGGCTCGAACTCACGTAATGTGAAGTCATGACCTGAGGTGAAGTCAGAAGCTTAACCGACTGATCCACCCAGGCGCCCCAGACTCAATTCTTTGTCTTCCCACTGTATCTCCCAACTGTTTCTTTAAATGCTATTTATGTAATAGTAGCCATATGGGGTACCTGGGTGGCTCAGTTGTTTGAGAGTCTGGCTGTTGAATTCAGCTCAGGTCTTAATCTCAGGTTCATGAGTTCAAGCCCCACACTAGAATCCCTGCTGGGTGTGAAGCCTATTTAAAAAAAATAGCAGCAATAAAATGAGCAAATAACAGAAATTCAGTATATAACCAACTGAAAACTGTCCAATAACAAGTACATACCAACGCAAACAAGATTCTATATGGACATGTATAAAACATTAGAATCCATATCTTAATGAATTTAAGAGTTCCTACTGTTGTATATGGAATTAGTAAGAATATGACCAGACAGGAAATGTAAATGACTTTAAACCCATAGACCCCTTTGTACTGCCAGGGCATTTTATTTGAAGGTAGCAATCTCAGGATAAGATTGTGTAATTATCAGAGTGATTATTTTTCATTGTTCCTAGTAGGTGTCGATGTGATTTTCTCCACTTTGTGCATTTCAGTATTATTTACTAACTGGAATATTGGTGCTTCCGTAGTTTATTTTTCAGCTCTTGTCAAAAATTCTTTTAATTTGGTAAGGGCACCAGTGATTAATGCAAGCAGCAAAACAAACACACGAATCAACATTAGAACTAGTGCCTGGTTTATATTAACAATTATTTTGCTTCGAAGATGTATTTCTTTGTAAGGTGGGGGGCCACTGTCTATACTGCCACCTGATCCTCTCTCTTCACACGATGGTGGTTTCCAACCTTTCATACAGTGACAATGTTTCTTGTTGTTACACACCCCTCTGAAATTGCATGTCTTGACATCACAGTCAAAACCCATGTCTTCATAAAAAGTACAATTCTGTTTCACACAGTATTTTCCTGGGCCACATGTTGCACCATCCACCACAAGCCCCATTTCTGGCACATCTGTCCCATGGTGTGCATCGTATCCAAAGCATGTTTCTTGTTTAACACCTGGTATTATTATATGACGAAATGTAGTGTGCTCACCTCCACCAGGAATTTTACGGACATTACTACAGTGCAGCATTCCACAAAGAACATCATCTTCTTCACATTTAGCAGGTTTTCCTCCTCCTCGTAACACCCTCACTCCACAGTTTCCAAATCGGTCACCTAGTATATTCAGTTTTTCATAGCATGTTGGTGAAGCATCTTTAATTTGGAAGCCAAAAAGGGCTTGACACTGCATATCACGGTCACTACAGTTTCCTCTCACACAAACAGCTAATGCTGAACATGGGGTTCCATCCTGGGTGTACATGTCATTTGGACAATTATGCGTTTTCCCATCACAGTATTCTGGTAGATCACAAATACCAAGTATGTCTCTGCAAATCTTTCCAGGTTGAGCAAATTTGCAGTTAACACAGCAGGGCCCTTCACTGCAGTCACTGCCTCGGGAAAGGATACAATTGGTCTAACAACAATTATTCTAAAAACAATATTTTAAGGAGCCACAATCACAATATTCAAACAGATATAAAATAAAGTCACCACAACGAGCAGCTACATAAGGAAAATTTTAGTATGGTTAATTTAGAATGCTCAAACAAGGGTCCCAAATAGAAAAACGATGATGCAGTGCCTCATAAGAACAGTTGCTCATCATATCCAATAAAACAGGCTCAGGAGACATGACACAAAAAAATCTTCGAAAACAAAAACAACCAGGTACATCATGAAAGAGGCCAAAAATATGACCTAAAGCATGTGCTGAAATAGCTGCAGCAAAAAATAAGTGAAAATATGCTACATATACAAAAAATGCTCCCCAATTGGGGTTGCATATTCCATAATGGTGGACATAATAAAAAGCACCAGAGAATATATGTCCTGTAAGAAGAAATGAAGTATCATGAAAAATATCATAAAAAAAAAAATAAAATTTCCACAAACCAAAAAAAAATATAGAAAAAAAAGCAATAAAAAAAATAAAAAAATAAATAGAATCCATACAATACCATATACACAAAAGACGGAAATTGACATCTAAAAGAAAAAGTTTATAAATAGTATGAAATAAATTGTTAAAAATCACAACAAACTCTATTAAAAGAGTAAAATTAAAAATCAAAAAAAATAATGAGAAAGAAACTGTGTAGTGAATTTTTAAATATTTCTTATGTGGCCACCACAAATAAACGGGGGCTGCTCTAGGAGCTCCAGAAAGGATTGCCTCTTCATACACCTGATTTGTATATTGCTCTTCAATCTTACACCTTCGAGACTCTGACGGTCTTCCTTCTGACACAAGCAAAGAGACTACATGCTCGAATCTGGAAGAAGCCTCCAGCGGTTTTATTTCATAAGTGAAGTCATCTACCTGCAGCATGCCACGCAGGCCCCCGTAGCAGGTGTCCAGCGTGCCCATGGACCCAGGAACCCCTTCCAGGTAGCTGTAGTAGTAACAGTCTCGAGGGACAAATGGATAGTCCTTCTGCATGGCACCTTGATCGTTGTTGGTGATGACAGGAAAATGTGTGGGCAGCAAGCTCTTCTTGACTTTCATGTGAACCACATGTCTTTGGCCTCTGAAGTGGATCTTATAGGAAAGCTGGCCTTGCCTCTCAGCTCCACTCACCCTGTGAGACACCTTCCTGGGGATCACAACTTCAGAGGAAGTGAAGCGCCATCCTGGGAGGTCACGGGAGCAACAGACCGGGGACACGAGTAGCCAGAGCAGAGGCAGCCAGAGATCACCTGTCAAGTGGGCCTGGGCCCAGGCAGGCCCCATGAGTGAGTGAGCCTGTGGCCACAGAGGATGCAGTCAGGTGGGAGGCAGGCAAGATGATTGCTGAAACGGCAGCTTTCCTAGCAGTGGAGTCCTGAGGGGATCAGAGAGAGACTGGGGGCTTGGCACAGGCCAGAGAGGTGGAGGAGGGAGGGGAACCTATTACATAATAATGGTGTGCTCATTAAGGGGGGGCTGTGCTCAGTGAGCTGACTGTCTTAGCACAGAGGACCTAGAGGAGTGGGAAAATGGGAGGAATTGGGAACCACAGTGTGTATATCTGGGCTGAAAGTTCCCATGGTCTCTTGGAGAAGTCACAGGGGAAGAATAAGGGCATTTGCATTTGGTGGAATGTTAAGTGAGTGAAGGACTTTTCTTTCTCAAACCTAAATGGCATAAGGGATCAACATGTCATTAAAACAGAGGATGGAGGCTCAGTTGGTTAAGTGTCTGACTTTGGCTCAGGCCATGATCTTGAGGTTCGTGAGTGTGAGCCCCGCATCAAGCTATCTGCTGTCAGCACAGAGTCTGCTTGGATTGTCTGTCACCCTCTCCTTCTGTCCCTCCCCTGCTTGCCCTCTCTCTCTCTCAAAAATAAATAAACATTTTAAAAAATTAAAGAAAAAAGAAAACAAAGGATGGACAGGAGAGTGGAAGCTTTTTTTTAAAAAAATATAATTTAGTGACAAATTGCCCAACATACAGTGTATAAAGAGTGCTCTTGGTTTTGGGGGTAGATTTCTGTGGTCGGTCGTTTACATACAACACCCAGTGCTCGTCCCAACAAGCGACCCCCTCAATACCCATCATCCATTTTCCCCTCTCCCATCAACCCTCAGTTTGTTCTCGTATTTAAGAGTCTCTCAAAGTTTGCCTCCCTCCGTCTCTGTAACGTTTTTCCCCTTCCCTTCCCCCATAGTCTTCTGTTAAGTTTCTCAAGAACCATATATGAGTGAAAACATATAATATCTTTCTCTGACTGACTTATTTCACTTAGCATAATACCTTCCAGTTCCATCCATGCTGCTGCAAATGGCAAAATTTCATTCTTTCTCATTGCCAAGTAGTGTTCCATTGACTATATAAACCACATCTTCTTTATCTATTCATCTGTTGATGGACATTTGGGCTCTTTCCATAATTTGGCTATTGTTGAAAGTGCTGCTATAAACATTGGGGTATATGTGCCCCTTGAATCCACACTCCTGTATCCTTTGGATAAATTCCTAGTAGTACTATTGCTGGGTCGTAGGGTAGTTCAATTTTTAATTTTTTTGAGGAACCTCCATACTGTTTTCCAGAGGGGCTTCACCAGTTTGTATTCCCACCAGCAGTGCAAGAGGGTGCCCGTTTCTCCACATCCTCGCCAGCATCTGCTGCTTCCTGAGTTGTTAATTTTAGCCACTCTGACCAGTGTGAGGTGGTATCTCAGTGTGGTTTTGATTTGTATTTCCTTGATGATAAGTAAGGTTGAGTATATTTTCATGTGTCCTTTGGCCATCTGGATGTCTTCTTTGGAAAAGTGTCTATTCATGTCTTCCGCCCATTTCTTCACTGCATTATTTTTCAGGTGTTGAGTTTGGTAAGGTCTTTACAGATTTTGGATACTAACCCTTTATTTGGTATGTCATTTGCAAATATCTTTTCCCATTCTGTCAGTTCCTTTTTAGTTTTGTTGTTTACTGTACAGTGCAAGAGCATTTTGTCTCGATGAAGTCCCAATAGTTCATTTTTGCTTTGAATTCTCTTTTCTTTGGAGATGTGTAGAGCAAGAAATTGCTGCAGCTGAGGTCAAAGAGGTTGTTGCCTGCTTTGTCCTCTAGGATTTTGATGGTTTCCTGTCTCACATTTAGGTCTTTCATCCATTTTGAGTTTATTTTTGTGTATGGTGTAAGAAAATGGTCTAGTTTCATTCTTCTGCATGTTGCTGTCTAGTTTTCCTAGCACTATTTGCTACAGAGACTGTCTATATACTTTTTCTTGCTTTGTCAAAGATTAGTTGGCCATATATTTGTGTTTCCAGTTCTGGGTTCTCTATTCTATTCCATTGGTCTATGTGTCTGTTTTTGTGCCACTACCATACTCTCTTGATGATTACAGCTTTGTAGTACAGGCAAAAGTGTGGGATTGTGATGCCTCCCATTTTGTTTTTCTTTTTCAATATTACTTTGGGTATTCAGGGTCTTTTGTGTTTCCATACATTTAGGATTGTTTTTTCTAGCTTTGAGAAGAATGCCAGTGCAATTTTGATTGGGATTCCATTGAATGTGTAGATTGCTTTGAGTAGTATTGACATTTTAACAATATTCATTCTTCCCACTTCTTTGTGTCTTCTTCAATTTCCTTCATAAGTTTTCTGTGGTTTTCAGCATACATGTCTTTTACATCTTTGGTTAGGTTCATTCCTAGGTGTTTTATGGTTCTTGGTGCAATTGTAGATGGGATCAATTTCTTGATTTATCTTTCCGTTGCTTTACTATTGGTGTCTAGAAATGCAACTGATTTCTCTATATTGATTTTGTACCCTGTGGCTTTCCTGAATTCATGTGTCAGTTCTAGCAGCCTTTTGGTGGAGTCTTTTGGGTTATCCATGTAGAGTATCATGTCATCTATGAAAAGGGACAGTTTTACTTCTTGTTTGCTATTTTTGATGTGTTTTATTTAATTCTGTTGTCTGATTGCTGAGGCTAGGACTTCCAACACTATGTTAAACAACAGTGGTGAGAGTGGACATCCCTGTCGTGTTCTTGATCTCAGGGGGAAGGCTCTCAGTTTTTCCCCATGAAGGATGATATTATCCTTTGCCTGTCCCACCATTGTATTTTGAAGGCTAATATGTTTGTCTTTTTTTAAAAATTTTCAGAAAATATCTGTGTATTATTGAAAGATCCATATTGAGCTTTTGTCAGAAGGTGCTCTGAATTCATCTGGACCATTATGTGACCACTGTTACCAGGGCACATGGAGCAGGAACCTTTAAGACATTGAGGTTTAAGTCCCAGCCAAGTGCCAGGGAAGCGTGGGAGTCAGCACAGTGGTTCAAACCACCCCCTTCCCCCACCTCAGGGCACAGTGAGGACACCCTGAACAGAGTGCTTTGGGACACCCAGTCTGTGGAGGAGACTGCAGTATTGCCATTTTCCTCCCCACCACCACCAAGGTGGGGCTTCAGGGAACATACAGTGGGCCCACAGGGGAGGCGCGACCCCTCCCCCCCCCCACCCCCCCGGCAAACCATGCCCCTCTGCACCTGGTCACTGCTTATCTCCTGGAGCAGAATTGATGCTGAAGAACCAGATAGCCCTTCCTCCAGACCAGTGCTGCCACTGGTTCCAAGACACCCAGAGGTTTTGCATTTCCTGAGCTAATTCTCAGGCAATTCTTCTTATATATATATGTATCTATATACCTACACATATATATTCCTTCCTTTTCTCCATTTGATTATGACTTATTCATATATGGCTTTTATGATGTTTAGATATGTGCCTTCTATTTCAATTTTCTTGAGGGTTTTTATTAAGAAAGCATGCTGTATTTTTTTCTGCATCTATTGCTTTTTCTGCGTCTATTGACAGGATCATACGGTTCTCATCCTTTCTTTTATTAATGTGATGTATCACACTGAGTGATTTGCGAATATTGAACCAGCCCTGCAGCCCAGGAATGAATCCCACTTGATCATGGTGAATAATTCTTTCTTTTTTTTAAATATTTTTTATTTATTTCTAGGAGAGAGAGAGAGACAGCGTGATCAGGGGAGGGTCAGAGAGAGAGGGAACACAGACTCTGAAATAGGCTCCAGGCTCTGAGCTGGCAGTCAGCACAGAGCCCGACGCGGGGCTCAAACCCACGAACCGCGAGATCATGACCTAAGCGAAAGTCGGATGCTTAA